TTTTCTTGTTAATATAGTTTAGAAAAGGTATTAATTCTTGTTGAAGATGTTTTGCTTAATGCCGTTCCACATAGAAGATTATGTAATATTTTTTGCGCTCCAATTCTTTAACTAAAATAGCAAGCGATTTTTATGTGCAATATGGCGTAGTTGGCAAATTCTTCATTTGGTCGATTTACAGCACATCCTAGAAAAAAAATTCAGTAACAGATAATAGCCTCGTTCTTTTCCTCTCTGCCTTACTCTCTCTTAATATGTTCATTTTGATCATTTATTTATTTTTCTATTTCCGGTTCCTCTTGTCCGCTGATCGGTCTTGTTGATAAAGGCGATTAAGTTCTCCTTAGCTTTAGTTTGTCATCAATCTTTGTCTTCAGCCACTTGAAATTTAAACATTATCTCTATGTGGAATTCTTTATTAATTTAGAGTCTCTCTCTCTCTCTCTCTCTCTCTCTCTCTCTCTCTATCTATCTATCTATCTATCTATCTATCTATTTCTCTAGCTATTTATCTAGCACATCCACACGCAAATTTTCGACTTTTTCTCGCTCTCTATCTCTATCTTTTTCTCTCTTTTACTCATTTTTCTCTCTCTCTCTCTCTCTCTCTCGCACTATTTTACTCTTTTCTCTCCTTCTTCCTCTCTTTTTAGTTTTCACTCTTTATCTCTTTTCCTTTATTCCATATCTCCTTCTTTCACTCTATTTTTCTCTCATAACATTTCTCTCATTTTCTCTTTCTGTCTTTCTCTCACTCAAGAGAGATACACCGAGAGAGAAATAAATAGAAAAAGAGAGAAAAAGAAAGAAAAGTATAGTAAAAGTAGAGAAAGGGAAAGAAAAAAAACGAGAAAATATCTTTCTCCTTGTAGAGGACTTAGAAAAATGGCACTTGTAACTGTGGAAAAAAAAATTAATTTAAAAGTTAGCGTATATAAATGTGTTTATAAAATAAGTATATAAATAAATATATGAATAAATATATATTTATATAAGCATATTTATTTATATGCTTATATAAGTATATATTTATTCTTATATTAATTTATATACTTTATAAAATAATAAAATAGACATTTTATAATTAATTCAATCATTAGTATCTGAAGCACCGACCAGTGAGAAATTACGAAATTCATAGTGCACCACTGATAAGAATTTAATTTAATATTTCTGCAATGTAATAATAATAATAATAATAATAATAATAATAATAATTATTATTATTATATATATATATATATATATATATATATATATATATATATATATATATATATCCAAGTTTAGGATTGATGAATACGGAATAGATTCCAGTAACCAAAAATCTTATTCTTAAAAGAGTGCTCAATACAGAGTAGAGCAAATATTATTTATTCAAAATTTATAACATAAATATGTTACAAAATTACTACAAAAATAGTTATTATGTTTCAACACTTCTAGTGTCTTATCAAGAGATGGTGTTGAAACTTTTTTTCAACACCATCACTTTATAAGACATCAGAAATGTTGAAACAAAATGGTTATTTTTATAGTGATTTTATAATATGTTTATGTTATAGTTTACGAATAAATATATATATATATATATATATATATATATATATATATATATATATATATTCTAATATTTTAATTTTAAAAATATTTTACATCGTGGCACGGAAATTTCTGTGTCGGAACTTAAATCTGTTCCATTATCAAGCGATTTTGGGTAACTTTTAATGAAAGTGATTCACCTTTGTAACTAAACCGGATGCAAATAGTGGCACGTCTAAAAATGACGGTTCATCTAGGCAAGTTTGAATAACACCACCCCCAACCTATAACCTACATTTTTTCTCATTTCTCTGCTTTAGCTTTGACCAGACTTTTCATAGCCATAAAAATTTTGAAATCTTGTTCCTCCTTCTCCCTAACTTTTAAATAAAATACCATTCTGTTTTCAAAATTAAATCATTTTCGTCAAAAGTTGCCCAACAACGCTTGATAATGGAACAGATTTAAGTTCCGAAGCATAGAAATTTCTGTCTCCCAATGTAAAATACTTTTTAAATAAAAACATTATAATATTATGCTCAACGTTGTATCAAGCTGTTAAAGAACAGTGCATCCTGAACCTGACTGTTCTTTCTCTTTAATTGCACACACACAGACACACTGACACACACACACATACACACACACACACACACACACACACACACACACACACACACACACACATATATATATATATATATATATATATATATATATATATAAAAAAAGAACAGTAAGATATATAATCCGGTGTTCTTATAGATATTTTTATTTTTACAAAATAGTGCTCAATGTAAATTTACAGAGCATTAATATTATAAATTAATTGATTTAAAATATGGTTCTTCCATTTTTGAAACATGGTTAGAACTGTGTAGCGGAAAAACCATATTTAAATCAATTAATTTATAAATATATATATATATATATATATATATATATATATATATATATATATATATATAGTATTGGGGAAGCAGATCATTATTCAAACATATATTGTTAAATATAACAGGCAACGAAAGTCTATTATGTTTGATTATGTGCCGTTCCAAACTTCGTATCTTTGCGTTAATTTGGGATGAAAATAAAAACAAATTTGTCGAACATCAGGATATATTTTTATTATGCTATTCTTTGATCTAAGCTTTCGGCTCGCATGAGCCATCTTCAGAATGGATATATGGACGTTTAAACAGAGACCGTTATCGTCTCATAGCAATCTTCCATGTCAACATAACAGAATATCATCTTTGATGCTGAATTTCTTTGTCTAATAATATGCGAGAGAGTAAGCTACGCTGCAAATATGGATGTGCCAGAAATAATAAAAGCAGAAGTAAGATCAGCGTACTAAAGATGGGTGGATATAAACAGGGGCTAAACACCAGGGCCTGATGGGATCGTAACAGAAATGCTCTCTGCCTTAGATCATTTCGCCATCGACAAGATCACAGAAGTAATAAACGGAATCTACAACGTTGCCGACATACCGGAGGACTTCACTAAATCACTCTTCCTAACTTTACCTAAGAGACCAGGTGCAAATGAATGCGCGCTCCATCGGACAATCTGTTTAATGACCCACATAACCAAACTAATGATGCGAATCCCTGTGAATAGAACGCGAGGCAGAATAAAATCAGAAATAGGAAAAGAACAGGTTTGGTTTTGTTTGTTCTGTTTTACGGCATATCAACACCTCAATGGGTTATTTAATATCGACAAGATTTTTATTGCTGATAATATTTTTATCTATCTATCTATCTATCTATCTAAATATATATTGGTTTAGTTTGTTTTGTTTTACGGCATATCAACCTCAATGGGTTATTTAATGCCGACAAGATTTTTATTGCTGATAATATTTTTTTATCTATCTATCTCAGTATATATTGGTTTGGTTTACGGCTTATCAACCTCAATGGGTTATTTAATCATTTGTTATTGCTGGTAATATTATTTTTTTTCAAAAATGTATTGTTGGTAATATTTTTTCAAAAAATGTATAGCTGATAATATTTTTTTTCAAAAATATATAGTTTGGTCTGTTTTGTTTTACGGCATATCGTCCTCAATTGGTTATTTAATGCCAACAAGATGTTTTATTGCTGGTAATATTTTATTTTTTTAAAATAATGTATTGATGATAATTAATCTGGAAATCTAATCTACCATTTAACCTCAAACGGAGATACTTTCCCGCCATTGTAGAGCCGGTTTTAATGTATGGTGCCACTGACTGGACATGAACTGAAACTTTTGAGTCTGGATTTGATGGAATCTATACTCGGATGTTGAGAGCTATACTGAACATATCTTAGTTTGGTTTGGTTTGGTTTGTTTTACAGCATATCAAAACCTCAGTGAGTTATTTAATGCCGACAATATATTTCCGCAAAAAAATTATTACTGATAACAATTTTCTTTTTAAAAGATAATTGGTGATAATGTTTTGCAAGGAATAATTTTATATACAAATCTGTACTTCTGGTAATAATTTTCCAAAAAAGGTATTGCTGGTATTAAAACCTATTTTTATACTGTCACAGTGTTTTGCGTTATAGCTGGGACCTTTAGAGGCGTTACCACCACGGGTCAGTTTGGACCTCGGAACACCAGCAATTAAGAGGTGGTTCTACGCTCCTCAAAACGTCCTTGCCAGAGGCCTTGCTGTTAGATGTACTTTATCGTCTTGCCCAGGACACGGATATAGTTTACCGTCCTACACAGCACGCGGATGTAGTTTATCGTCTTTCCCAGGACTCGGATGTAGTTTATCGTCGTACCCAGGACGCGGACGTAGTTTATCGTCTTTCCAAAGATGCGGATGTAGTTTATCGTCATACACAGGACGCGGATGTAGTTCTCCGTCCTACCCAGGACGCGGATGTAGTTTATCGTCTTACCCAGGACGGGGAAATGAACAGATTGGCTTTGTCAATTACACTGAAAAAGGAACGTGATATTTATGATTAGAATGATCTCAGAGAGAATGAGAGAGCAATACAAATCTGAATGATGTGCACCTATGTTTTATAGATAACGTAAATGCATTTAACCAAGTATGACACAAGGATCAGCGAGGGTCGTTCAAAAAGTTCTACGCCTCACTCAGAAAGAAGATCCATAGCTGAACATTTTTGCTGTGACAACACACTACCACTTAAACAAACAGAGAAACTAATACTGATTTCTGTCTTAACTTACAAAGGTGATAGGTGTGCGATAAATCTAAAAATAGGCATAACAGAGGCCTGAGAAGTCATAATGTATCTGCGAAAGAAAAGGTATATTACACAAGGTACAGTGTAACTCGGATATAAGAGAAACCCGGATATAAGAGAGATCTTCTCTGGTCCCAAATTAGAGCCTGTGTTAATGTATATAAAATAGACCAAACCTGGATATAAGAGAAACCCGGATATAAGAGACTTCTTCTCCGGTCCCGACAACTCTCTTATATCCGGGTTACACTGTACTTATTGAGGCAGGGACGACACAAAAGATGACCCTCGCTAAGGTTGTCCAAAAAACCCTCAACCACTGATGAATAAGTTGATATTATACACCGTATGTTTTTTATTGACAGACGTCTTACTATCCAGCAGATAGATATGTCTATAGGTATTAGTTCTGGTTCGATCTATACTGCTTTACCTGGGATATTGTGCATGAGCAGGCTGTCAGCAATATGGTTCCCAAGAATGCTGACACCAGAGCAGAAGATGAAAATGGTTGGCACTTCTGATTCGCTACCAGGATGACCCCGAGAATTTCACCTTACTGATTAGTAACTCAAAATGAAACCGGGGTTCACCACTTTGAACGTGAATCAAATGTTCAAAGCAAACAGTGGAAACACTTTGATTCTCCACCTAGTTCAAGGGTGAATAAATCTGGGAAGAAGATGCCTCCTTGTTCAAGCAAGCAGTGACAAGGTGATGGCTTCTTTTTTTTTTTTATTGTGAAGGCATAACACGATTGACTACATGGAAAAAGGAAAAACAACTATTAATGGACAGTATTATGCGTCAGAATAAGACAACTGAAGGAAGCAATCAAATCGAAATGTAGAGAGAAGCCGAGGTAAGGTGTGCTTTTGCGCTCCCGTTCGCACTGGTCAAGTTGTATAGCTGAACCACTACAGCTGTAGCTTTGAATTGCTACCCCATCCCCTTATTCACCAGCTTTAGCTCCATCTAGCTTCTTCCTGTTTAGTAAACTAAAATCCAACTTGCGTGGTCGCCATTTTGGAAACAATAAAGAGATCATATATGCTGCTGAGAAGGTTTTGGTAGATCAGGACGCCATCTTCTTCCGTAATAGGATTACACTGAATAAGCATCGTTGTACTAATTGCATTAATGTCGGTTTGACTATATTGAAAATTAGCGAAAAAACTCTCTTGTTTATCCAATTCCTTCTGAGCAAAGCTTAGAACTTTTAGAACGGCTTTCGTGTATGAACTGCTAGGAAAACTAGATCTATTAAGAAAACATATTAGAACAATCCAGAACTTAAAGTGGGAGAAAGTCGCCTGAAAACAGAGTATCTATACAAAAATAGAAGGGGGCGTGAGATTCCCAGATTTATTCACCCTCTACAACGACGCTAACCCAAGGGAATTGGAGACCATAGCAAGATTTATTATCGGCGGGCGTAATCTTCACAATATAAGATATGCAGATGACACTTTCCCCGGCTCAGAAAGAAAATTACATGACCCCCCCCTTGACAGGGGGCTAGATGAAAGCGAGAAAAATTACTAACTATCAAGAAAACAGAAGGTAATGTTCTCAGCAAGAGGTAGTGGTGACAATGAATCTCATTGGAAGATCCTTCGTTTGATGTGGATTGGTCTCGATGATAATGACCCGTTTGTATGGTTTAGGCTTAGTGTAGTCTTCCAGTTTTTCATGCTCCCTATTATAAATTTGACCGTGGGGCATCGTCTGTATATTTTTAGGCTCTTCCTTAATCATGAATGCGATACACTGTTGAACGCCTTTCTGCAGTCGCTACATACAATCAATAAGTTTCTTTACCTTGTTTTCCCCTCTTCAAATATTGTTTTATTGATAATTACTTGGTACTTGCACCCTTAACTTCCTTTTTTAAATGACTTTTCTTCTGGGAGTAAGTTGTTTTTTCTCGAGGAAGTTGTATATCCTCACGGTTACGATAGAAGTGAAGATCTTGTACATTCTTCATAGGCAGTTGATGGGCATATACTTCTTCCGGTTCTACGTCTCTTCTGTTTTGGGGGATAGGTATGTTACTCAAAATGTGGGCCATTTGGGGAATTTTTCTAGGTTTATGATTATATCATTGTTTGCTCGTGCTAGGTAGGTGCTAGTTTTTTAATCCAAAAATCTATTCCTGGTTCTTTCCAGATTTTGGTTTTGCAGATGGCAGCATTTTTAGTAATATTGATATACGTCCATTCTGCTCTCGTTGTAAATAAAATGATTAATTTTTGTCAGGTTTATCGGCTTTTCCATTTGGTTCCTTATTTTTCTAATTGTTTAGTTAGCGAGGTTAATGGCTTCTTTCATTTGATGATTCTTTCTTACTTTTGGAATTGTTGGCATTTCCTCGAAAGACATTTCCTTTACCTTCTCCCATTTATATCGGATGTTTTTTGTAATCGCTGTTTCTCTTTCATATTCATCATTACCTTCCTCTGTTTGCTTGTAAATCTTGTTAAAGAAAGGTTTATTATAAGTGTTTATATTGAGTGGCTTATAAAATAAAAATGTTATATACATTACTCATAAATAGATAAATAACAAAAGTCCATTAAAAATAACCGATACGTCACTATCATTACAATCACTGCCACCATCATTATCACTACTACCACCGTTATCCCCACTACCACCATTATTATTATTACTATTATTGCATTCCTCTTTGTTTCTCTTTCTTCTCCCTATTAACAATAATAAGAGTTTAATAACAATCCAATGATTTGCCCGAATGAGGTGAGAAAAATTAAGATTTACGTCAAAAATAAATAAAACTAACACGTCCCGATTACTTATTAGGTATATCAACAAATAATATGACTTAGTAACATGTCTTTAGAATTAAATATTATTAATCTAATGTTTAATTTGCAGCTTTATACTAATTAATGCACAGACAAGCACACACATACACAGACACACACCCACAGACATATATATGTATATATATATATATACATATCCTGTACATCATGTACCAATAACATGTACAAAATTATCAACTCACATAACTATATTTTAAGTCATTTCTATGGAGTAAACAGCAAACCTTTTATTGAACTCTCCTGCAATTGTAGATATAAAGAAAGCTGTACAATTGAGGGCAAATGCAAATCTACTAGATTTATATATCAAGCAACCATTTTCCCCAAAGAAAATATGAAAAATTACAGGGTTTATATTGGAATTTCCGCGAGGGAATGGAAACAGAAGTTTTATATCCATAGACACTCTTTTACCAACCCTAAATTTAAAAAAAAATTCAGACAGCCATTTCAAAATAATTTTGGGAATTGGAGGAGAAAGGCTTCAACCCACAGATAAATTGGAAGATTATAGGTTCCATACACACTCCTAATAGTCTTTGGATAGGTGTGACTTATCTTTAGAAGAGAAAATTTGAATAATAAAATGCAATAATCAATGGCAACTATTAAATCAAAGGAAAGAATTAATTTTAAAATGTCGACATAAAAACAAATTCAAATTTCCATAATATAGATTTTATTTTATTAGCTATTATATTTCCCTAACTATTCAAATATAGAATGCATACCCAATGCTAATTTCTATATTACCATTTTTACACCATATTAATTATATTTTATAATTGTCCTCTGTTCTAAGAACTTTCTTTCCTTTTATCACTGACATCTCTGTATCTATATATTTTAGTGTTTTTTAAATATAACTGTAGTTTTATGTATTTTTGAAGTATAATTTTATATTTTCAAAATGTAACGTTTTGATTTAACTTATCTTTAAAGGTATTATAAGTTTTTTCTAACGTATAATTTATTTTATCTTATTATATTTTTATTTTTAAATATTTTTATTCTTTAATATAACCTATTGTTTTATATCAATTGTAATATTTTTTAAAATATAATTTTCTTAATTTTAATATAAATTTTCTGAATATAACTTATTTTTAATTTATTTTTAATTCATTTACATATACCTTATTTTTAAATATAACTTGTCTTCAGAAGAGTGTTTTAATTAGGAATTTGTATATTTAAACTTAACTATTTAAATTAAAACAAAAAACAAACTTTTCGTTCCAAGTTCAGTTTGAAATTAACTTTAATTCAGCATATAAAACCAATTTAATGCCATAAGGTTAATATCCAGGTTTAATATTATAAAGCCTCTTCCTTTAAGGCTAATACCTTCCACCACTGCCTCGTGCTTTTCGTCTGACTGAAACATTGAAACGGATGAATTCTGTATTAGTTTTTCGACAGCTGTCAGTGTTAAATTTCTAATTTCGACAGGAACTCAGTGTATATACCGGTGTAGAAAAGACCGACGAAGTTTTCATCGGTTGAAATAAGTCTACTCCCCATATGAGGTAATTTTGGAGTTTTTATGCACTAATATATTTGCTCTGTAATAATAAATACATTGAGCATTTTTTGTGGATCAGTTTTAATATTTTATATTATTAGGATTCACTTGGATTATATACCAACCGATTTATTACCTTTTTTATATATATATATATATATATATATATATATATATATATATATATATACAAAGACACATACACACACACATATATATATATGCATACGCAAGTACACAGACATATACATACACATATATACAAATTATATATGATTATTATCATTATTATTATTAGTACAATTATTATTATTATTATTATTATTATTATCTATCAAACCCATCTTGTATGGATTTCCACAACCTGCATACCTCAGCCTATTTAGATCTATCTATATCTATCTCAGCCTTTTCTTATCTACCTCAGACTCTTCTTATCTATCTATCTATCTATCTATCTATCTATCTATCTATCTATCTATCTATCTATCTAAGCCTCTTCTTATATGTCTATCTATGTACTTGCCTACGTTCATTTTTCTATTTATCTATCTATCTATCTATCTATCTATCTATCGGATAGATAGATAGATAGATAGATAGATAGATAGATAGATAGATAGATAGATAGACTGACAGAGATAGATATATAGTTATCGATTTACCTATTTATGTGTGTGTACGTGTATATTCGTTCGTTACGTGCAAAATCATGTATTCTTTTGACGATCAATTGATCTATTTTTGAATTACTATTCGTTTTTCTGTATCCCATCAGTCTCTTTCGATCTCCATTCCCCCCACCATTGTGATTGGCTGCATCAAAATGCAAATCTTTGATCAAACTACTCGGAGAAGAACGATCAACGACGCAGGTCACTGAACTCATTTCTCTTTATCAAGAACCCTAATAGGAACCCTAATATCGTGCCTTGATTGATTGCTTTAAAGTAAAATTGGCCGACGTGCACGCATGCGCATTGGCGATATACCTGCTCATATTGAACTATTACTGGGGAGACGTGATTATTTCGAAATGTTGGAAACACTTTTAATAGATTCTGTTGGAGAAAGGTTGGTAACATAACATCATTTCGGATCTATTATTATTATTATTATTATTATTTTTATTATTATTTAAGCCGCGCCTAAAAACTAATCTCCCTTGTATGAAATAAGATACTGCCCGCCATTTTCTTTTTTGTTTTATCAATGCTAAAATGTGTGCTAAGTAGAATTTGCGAGTATTTGGCAAACTCAAACAGATAATCTTTTTTATTCTTTTACACTGTTTCAACCGCCCCCTTTGAAGATGTGTCTTTCGGAATGTCTAGAACAGTGTCTCTCAACTTTTTTATATTTTTATTTTACTTCGCCGCGCTCTTGTAGAATAGCGGAACGCCTGGAGTGCACTTTAAATACTAATAGCGAAAAATTAGTCATGAAATTTGAGAACAGGAAAATTAAGAAGTCTTGTGAAGTAAGAATTTATTTTTAATTTATTTTTATTAAGTAGTTACAGAGAATGAGAGCAAGATTAAAGAGGGATGTTTGCGGAAAGGATAAAGAGAAGGACGGGGATCAGGATCAAAGCATCAGAAGATGTCGATAGACATTACATTTGAATATTTGAAGATTATGACTATCGAAGAAATAAGTAGGAGGAAGGGAGGTTCACTGTCGGGAACTTCGAGAGAAGAAGCTGTTGGAGTAGAAGAGGAGGGTTACTTTTAATTGTTTCGACAGTGAGAAGTTGGGACCGAGATGCCAACCTAGTAGCACGCTTAAATTCACAGAGTTGGGCTACCAGTCGACAGAACAGTTGCCATCAGAGTGCACTTGTCGAATAACTAAAACTCTGGGGTGCATTTTTAATTTTGATAAGGAGACAATCGTGATGAGATTTAAAAATAGGAAAATAATTCAGTCTTCTGAATTGAAGACATTACATTGTATATTTCAGTATATTTGTGTGAAACATGTGCTTGTTCAGCTTCGACAATTTTGGGGATGTTAGGCCTTATAAACCTAATCTCATATACAAAAATAAGACCGTATAAGAAGATTAGGAGTACAGTTTTCATTCAAAGGGATTTATGGTGATTTTCTTAGCATAGATGTGGCACAAGGTCAAAAGCATGCGGCACCTAGTGAGAATCGAACACATTACTCAGTTTAGCGAGACAATCTTTCTAACCATTACACCACGCCGATGTCTTCATATTAATGGGATTTATGAAGCTCATGAGTGAGAAGGTCGAGAAAAGAAACTATTAGCATAGAACAGGCGGTTCCATCTTGCTAGTTCAACAGTAAAAACGGTGAGACGTAGTTGCCAATCACGCATGCAGTCGAAGCGTTAAGAGGGATCGATAATGAGTGATTTAAATCCCTTGAGGAAGGTAAAACGAAAAACGATTAGCCACTACCTCTTAAAGATTAAGATATTTAGCAACAAGTTTTAAATATCAAATGACAAAGACTTGTCTTAGACATGGCAGCCATGTGCTGGGTTGTAAAAAGATTTAATTATAAAAGTAATTAATAAATTATCCTTCTGTTAACTTGTGGCACACCTGCCTACCTTTCCGTGCGCATTAGTACACCTGGGTGCACCGGTTGACAAACGCTGAACTTGTGCATGGAAGATTCAGGAGAGTAAGTTCAAGAATGATCTGTGTAACGTACATAGAGATCATCACAGAGAAAACAGTTGCAGAACAGTGGATATGTGTCTTGGGCAGTGAGGCATGGAGAAGATGGGTGGGACTGTAGGCTCTACATACTATTTTTACAATAACGTTCAACCAGTCAGTTTCTCGAAGTAGCAGTTCGTATGAAGAAGCTGCTCAAGTGGAACTTACAGCTCATAAATGGAAAACGACGGGAATTAGGGTGGTTCATTACAATGGACAAGGCATGGGGGATCTTAGCCGTAAAGTTTAGAACTGGTGGAACTAAGGAATGTAGTTCGTGTGAACACGTCCCACGGAAATAAGGATAGCGAGAGACTTGAGATTTTTCGTACGTGGGAAAGAGGTTGTAGGGTGGAAAATAATTAATTGTAAAGTCAGTGGTCATCTTTCTTTTTGTAACCTCTTGTCCTTTCTCTTCAATAATGTTTCGTTCTCTTTCTGTAGCAAATTCACTGATCGAAAGATTGGAGATTTTGAGTAGCGTACTACCACCTCCTAACTGCTCTTTGCTTCAAGGTCCACCCATATCCGGGGTGGTAGCACCTGTTAGGGTCCCGGCTATCGACAAATAGTGAACACATCAAACAAAAAAAAAAACAGTATGAAAGTATAAAAATACATTTATAGTAAAAATACCAGCAATATATTATTTATTAAAAAAATTACGAACAATACATATTTATAGTAAAATGACCCACAACATATCTCATCCGTAGTTGAAGGCATACAATTGCATTGAAAATATATTTAGCTGGAGCCATAAAATTCTGATCAAAACATGTATATTTTCGGCATTAAGTAACCCATAGAGGTGTTGTTGTGACGCTAAACAAAATCATTTAATCAACCAATCTATGCTATGTATTTATTTGTGATAGAAAAATAACATAAATCATATTTTTATTTCTTCAAAGCTCACAAGAAAATTAAATTTCGGTATTAAATGACCCATAGGGAGTTGATATGCCGTTAAACAAATCAGTCAACCCCTTGCGTCTCAGTAGCTTTATTCTCTTTCTTGAAGTCAAACGATTACAAAATTGATTCGCATTCTACCAAATAGGGCAAAGGTTCTCAACCTACTTTTTTTTCTTATTCTTTACTGCCGTTCGCACTTATGGAATAACTAAAACTCTGGGGTGGGGGAGTTAAAATTTTAATCAGGGAAAATCAGTTATGAAATTTGAAAATATGAAATGTTGGGTTAGCATCCCCAAAGAAGATTAACGGCACAGTTTTCATTTAAAACGATTTCTGAAGAATCTGCTATTTTTTTTTTTTAGAGAGGCTGAAAATGAGTGAATTAAATCCCTTAAGAAAGGCAAAATTGAAAATGATTATCTACTCCTTCTTAGAGATTAAATAAATATTAAAATCCAGTTTAAGATATCTAATGATAAAGATTTGACTTAGACAAGAAAGCTATGTGCTTGGTGGCTCATATTACCATTACTATTAGAGATCAGGAGAACAGATACTACACTTTGTTCTTAGCCTGTTGACCATGGAATAAAGAAAAGTTAAAATGGAGGAGCCTTGGCTGCACAGTCAATGAATACCGATTGCATTTTATAAGGAAATTGCTAATATTAGCATTACACATAAAAACGAGGAAAACATATACGACACTTATGATCAGGAAGAGTTAGTCATGAAATTTGAAATTCTGGTTTAGAAAAAGAACGATACAGTTTCATTTAAAGAGAAAATTAACGATACAGTTTCATTTAAAATGATTTCTGAAGAATCATATATATATATATATATATATATATAGAGAGAGAGAGAGAGAGAGAGAGAGAGAGAGAGGAAGGCAAAAGAGATTATCCACTCCTTCTCCCACTCTGACCACGAGGCCAGGTTCTATTATTCAGGGAGTTGATTTCTTGATGCTATCGGCTTAGGAAGGTAATACCGGTGTATGACACCCTTGCCTGTAAAATATGTTACACGTTTGCCCCAAGTCTTGCAAAAGAAATTGGTAAGGATTCGTAAGACATCGATGGTGTTGCCTTTCGGTCAGCGAAGTTAGGCAGCGTCAAGTACTTAGATGGTGGAACACTTAGGAATATCTGATACTGTAAACAATCTCATACAATCCCAAATATGTCTTGGATTGGAATAAGCCCCACAGCATTGATAAGCCGAAATAAAATAAAGTCATTCAATCAATAAACCATCGATTCTAAGGCTAACACGAAACCACAAGTCATCGTGACCGAGAGCTTCAGCGTACTGGCTGCTTTCAAAATCCACTAGATTATGCAATCTTTTAGAAGCGTTAACTAAGATCGACTCAGCATAGAATATCAAACACAGGCGAGCAAATGTACCTCTGTAGGCGTCCACAAGGAAGTGTGTGCCTGAAAACAAGCAGCCAGTAATTATATATATATATATATATATATATATATATATATATATATATATATATATATATATATAGTAGAATTTTGGGATTTAGGAAAATCATTATAGTAATTCACCGAGTCTAGAAGAATCCTCAAGAGAATGGAGCGAATTCCTCAGCAGTGCGCATCCACTACCGAGATTCGAACGGACTGTTGCAATATAACGCAAGCGTCATACCAACGGGTCTTGGTGACGAAGCGTCATACCAACGGGCCTCGGTAACGAAGCGTCATACCAACGGGCCTCGGTGACCAAGCGTCATACCAACGGGGCTCGGTGACGAAGCGTCATACCAACGGGCCTCGGTGACGAAGCGTCATACCAACGGGCCTCGGTGACCAAGCGTCATACCAACGGGCCTCGGTGACGAAACGTCATACCAACGG